CTTACCAAGAGCTTGCCGGAGCATGAGTCCCTGAGTCCAGTCCTTACTACCTTATACAATTGGGCCTAAAGGCTCGTGACTTAATCGTAACACTTGAGAAGAAAGCAGGGGGATCAGAAGTTCAAGATCGCCAGACAGTGGTGGCGCATGCCTTTAATCCCAGCACTTGGGAGGCAGAGGCAGGCAGATTTCTGAGTTTGAGGCCAGCCTGGTCTACAGAGTGAGCTCCAGGACAGCCGGGGCTACACAGAGAAACCATGTCTCAAAAAACGAACAAACAAACAAACAAACAAACACACAAACAGAAGTTCAAGGTCACCCTGAGCTTCATGTTTATGTAATTCTCAGTGTCTGTCATGGGTAGATAGAATGAACACCAAAACTACATTAAATATAACATCATGTGGGGAAAAAGGAGGAATAATACAGTTGAAAGGATCTGTTTGCTCTATATTATAAAGTGCGATGCATTAATCACCAGACATTCTTGTCTGTAGATAAGGAAGTACACGTTCTTAGAAAGCTATGGTAGTGTACAAGCAGGGCCGCTAAGGGACAGCTGGCTTTGTGGCATTTCACTGGTCCCTCACAGCAGAGGACAAGACTAGCCCTAGTCTTACTGAGAGGCTCAAAAAGACACTAAAATGAATATTCTGGAAGAAGAGAGAGAGAGAGAGAGAGAGAGAGAGAGAGAGAGAGAGAGAGAGAGAGAGAGATTTTGCCAAGGCAGTGAACATACTGCAAGACTCAGCCATACTCAGTCACCAACCAGAAAGCCACTGGATTCTGGCCTTGGTCCCATTTGCTGGGTTCCATGCATAACTCACTTTGGTTGGAGCATCTTTTCATTCTTGTTCTGTAGCTTTTTGGGGGATGGGGGAGGGGATGTAAACTGCTTAGTGAATTGGAAAGTTTTTACCAAAGACTATGGAACTACCAAGCAACACACACATAAAAGAACACTTTTATATGGAAAGATAAATAAAAAACGCTTAAATCATTTTTCTCAAGACATGGTTTCTCTGTGTAGTCTTGGATGTCCTAGAACTCACTCTATAGACCAGGCTGGCTTCGAACTCAGAGATACAGGTGTGAGTCACCACCAACTAGCTAAATCATCTATTTATAAAACTGAGAATTAAGAATAAGGAAACATACTTTAAAAACTGTTAACTAATAAAGGAACAGAGTAGGTAGAGAAGAGAGAAAAACTGATAACACCAAAGAAAAGGAAGGTGAAGGCCGTGAGAGATGGAAAGGAGAGTGAGAGCGGATGAGGGAAGGATGAAGGTATTGGCACAGAGGGAAGAGCAGTCAGGCCCAGTCAGGCCCTGACTGAGTGTGGCTCTCAGTGTCAGCGATCTGGACTCACACCTATGGAAAGTTCCCTTAGTGTCTTAGGTGAAACTCTTAAGGGTTCCTGTGCGTCAGAATGTTACCAGGATGACACAAGCTCATCCAGAAGGGGCCAATTATTGGTGAAAAGCTAGAAAAACAAAAAAGAGAAAGAAAAGATACCACACACAATAAACCACCTAACATGTGTGCGGGGAAAATCCAAAGTGAGAGTAGTAAGGAGTCCGGGTACAAGATCAACACAAAAATCAATGTAGTTCTGTATACAATAAAAAAGAGAGACGGAAACATGAAGACGACTTTCTGAGCCCCATTTATGTTTAACTAAGGCCTCTGCAAGAAAATACAATGGTGGACAGCCGAAGTTCCTAGGGCTGCAGTAGTAGACCAGAGATTGTTCTAGGTGTTACACAGATTTTTGTGTTTAATCCCTCACAATAGTCTCTTAATAGCTATTGTAAGGCTTAGCTGAGGCAGTGTGTGTAAAACCCTTAGCCAGTTATCTTGCATATAATAATAATAATAATAATAATAATAATAAAATAAATGAATCACTAAGCTTCAGCTCTCCAAAGCCAACCCTGATTTTAGGGAAGATGTGCAGAGTCAGTTGTGAGCAGAACAAAGTCAGTGTTTACTCAGCTCAGTATTTTTGACATTGTTTTGAAATTTTGATTAGCTCATCATGCCATGTATTCACTGGGACACTGCTGTAGGGTCTAGGAATAAAGTGGGTAAAGAAAAGAGACCAAAGTCTATGCTTTGATGAGGTTTAGCTTCACAGGGAACAGCAACTGGTCAATATATCACAAGTGGCCGGGGAGGCTGAAAGGACCAGTGTTATGGGAGCATCATGGGGTGGGGATATGGTCTACACTTGAGGATGAGAGAACTTTTGTTACAACAACAACAACAACCACGCCCTGGCAGTGGTGCTGAGCTCTATTTGGCAAGAGGACAGGGGGCTGGAGCAAGGGAAATGTTCTGTGCAGAGAAGGCAGTCTCTCTGGAGGGGGCGAGGGCTGCCAGGGGCCTCTGACTTGTTTCGGGAGCTTAAAGACTGTGTATGAAGGCCTGGATCACAGAGCATGGCATGGGGTGGGTTGTTGTTTGACTTGTGGCTGCTAAGGATGAGGCATAGATCACCTGGGTCTTGGGAGTCTCTTGAGCATGTTTGTATTCATCTTAAGGGGAACACTGCAGGTTTTAATGAAAAGGCCTGGTACGGCCCTGGTGTGTGTTTACAAGTGTCTCTGCATTGAGGAGGTCACTCCTGTTGTCTAGGGAGACAAGGAAAGTAGGTTAATGGTCACTGTCAGTAGAGAGGGAAGTAATGGGTATATCTGAATTACAGGGCCTGGTGTTAGCTTGGGAGGAAGGAAGGGGTGCCCCTATGATGTTCCCTCCTAGCATCTGACTTACAGAGCTGGGTGACAGGCATGACATTCTCATGGGAGGAAGACATTCTTTCTTTACTAGGGAATGGCTTTATTGCCTTTCTATTGAAACTTGAGAGCATATTGAAGTGTTTAGTGCCCTCAGGAAATGTGAACACTTCACACAGGTGGAAGAGAGACAGATTTGGGACACTGATCTTGAAAGTCTAGAGCTGCTCGTTCTGGTGTTTCCTCTTTGATTTTCAAAAGCAGACAAACTGGTGTAGATTCAATCTTTCTTTCTTTTTTTTTTTTTTTCAAGTACAGGCTTGTCAAAGTCCTGAATTCATGAAAGTTACATTTAAAACTGGTCTCCTGCCTTCTCACCCCCCATCAAATCTGTTTCTTCAAATCTGAAAATCCATATACAATCAGCTACTGAAATCACCCACGTCTCCTTTTCATTAATGTTTTAAGTCACCTCCTCTTAGGCTCCTGGGTAGTTAGATTTCTGATTGGTATAGTCTCACCCCATCTGATGGCTGCACAGCTGGGGCCATGTTAGGAGTCACTCTGAAGTTCCCTTCCTGTGATTTGGAGCGACTTTGGCAGGTATACAAGTGCTAGAAAAGACCTTCCACTACCTTGATGAAATCTGTCATCCAATGCTAGTAAAAGCTGAAGCTTGCTGCAAGTTTTGGAGTTGACCTTGGTTCCCCTGGACAGAATGAGATCCTCTGGAACCTAGGGCATGCTGTCCCAGGAGCAGCTCTGAAGCAAACTGCAGTTTTATTCATGAGACTCCTTAAAAGGAAGGGAGAGAAGCCATGGATAGTATTAGTCAAGACTGGAACTGCAAAATTAGAAAGTCCTATGAGACTTTTGCTTAAGTACAGGACTAGGGTTGGGAGATACAGCCCATGTGGCATGTATGTATCCTAGGTCAGATGGTAGGTTCTCTCCTTTTCTTCTGTCTCTCTTGCTTTTACACACACACACACACACACACACACACACACACACACACACACCCCTTAGCTTGCACCTCTCTCTATGTCATGACCCAGTAGCCTCCTTGGTGGTGGGAACTGGGACAGGCCTTCATGTGCTGCTTTAGCTCCCAGGAGTAGCCCCTAAATGCAGGCAAATGGAAGCTGAGAGCTCTTGGGGGATGGGCCCTGCCCTCTTTCTACATTCCTAGTTGACAGCCCAACTCTAACTGTGCCCCTTTCTGCAGCACGCCACCTCAGTGAGCATCATGGGCTTTTCCAACACTGTGGAGATGGAGTTATCGTCTACCAGGCTGGCGAGGGCCATAGAGCCACAGATCCACAGGGTGAGCAGCCTGGCTGCTCCCACGCACACGATTCCTAGCTTGCTGAGTGGCCCACCACAAACTGTGTCCAACCTGATGAGTGTTTCGAACCATGCGATGCCAAGCCTGACAGTCAGCCACCTGCAGCCTGTGCCAAACCTCGTGCGTGGCACATTTCAGTCCACGACCAACCCGAGGGGTGACTCCTCCCAGGCCATCACAAGCCTGGCGAGCACTCACTCACAAGCTGGGCCCAGCCTAATGTCTGGGCACACCCAGGCTACACCGAGTCTGGCCACTTGTCCTCTGCAGGGCATGCCTCCAGTTTCTGACATACACGTGGAGACTAGATCCATATCCAGTCCTGGGTCTGGCTCAACTGCAGAGAGGCTGGGCCCCAGAGATGGGACTGAGTCCTCCCTGGGGAATGCCTTGTGTAAGGTAGGTCTTAGGCATTCAACTTTTGCTTATTATGAAGCAAAAGGTTGGCTACTGACAGCCTCTCACCTTAACCTTAACCAGTTTTGCTGATGGCCACAACGTCAGGTTTGATTCTTGTTGACTTTTCACCTTTGACAGATGGAAAGTGAGGATTGTACCCGTTTCACAGACTCAGTAGGACAAGGCCCCACAGCCTCCAGTCTGGATGGTCCCAAGGATTTGGCTATTCCCTCAGAACTGGAGGAACCAATTAACCTCTCTGTGAAAAAACCTTTCCTGGCACCAGCGATCAACACATCTACTGCTCTTCAACAGTACCGGAATCCAAAAGGTGAGGCTTGAGTAACTCTTTCCTGTCGGCCATAGACCTGAGCAGGCCACTCAGCACCTCCGGGTGTGGTGGAGGCAGGTGGGTGGGCTCAGCCTGGGGGACGCCGCTTATAAGGCTGAACTGCTTCTGTCCTTCAGAAGTAATGCACATGCTTCTGCTTCCCTAACCATAGCAGCACTGCTCTGTGTGGCCTCCTTCCCCATAGAACACATCCTAGGAGTCCAGTTTTGTATGTAGGCACAATGGAAGAAACCACTCCTAAAGAGCTAGTAGCCTTGGCAAAATGTTGAGTGAAAAGGCGTGTCTGATGGATGTCCTTTGTGAAATGGGTATCTGCCATCTGCCTCCATAAATGGGACTCACTAAACTACTGCATAGGGTAGGGGGACAAACGACCACAGTGAAATCGCTCAGCCACTTGCTCTGCAACAACAGCAAGAATTTTCCAAGTACTCAGCAGTCATGTGGATTTGAGCAATGCCTCATAGTGAAGGGAATCTGGACCACTGGAAATAGGCTGTGCATTTCTTCTTAGGGAGTTGGCCTCTTTCCTTCCATCATGTGGTTCCTGGGGATTGAACTCAGGTTGTCAGGCTTGGCAACAAGCACCTATACCCATGAGCTGTCTAGCCAGCCCACTGACATCCCTTTCTTAAGGTGGTTTGGTGGTTTGTTTCATCTGATAAGGTATAGTTAAGTAGAGTGAAATACTGGCCACTTAGGACTTTTTCAGTTGTGATATTATTACTTATTTTGAAATGGATCAGTTTATTTTGTAGGCTCTTAATACATACAAAAGGACAACAATCCCACCAATTGGATTATTTTTTCTCTTTATACTGACAGACCAACCAGAAAATTATTGGTCCTTATTACCTATAGGAATAACCCTATATTCTATGCAACTAAATTAACATTTTAGACCCAGCTTTGCCCAAGGAAAGTGAACAGGACTGTGCTGATGAGCAGGAGCTCCTGTTCGGGCCTCACCACTGTTTCCTGCTCATCTGTGTTGACTCTGCCATGCTCTGGCCTCCGGGGTGGTGCACTAGCAGAGACTGCGGAGAATGACAGGAGACAACATAAGTGTCTGGGAAACAGGAGATTTCTAAGCTCTTGGCTGCTACCTGTCGGCAGCCTCTGAGAATCCTCTGTGCTCCTCTTTGCCAAAATGATAATGGCCTTCATCCTGTCTCAGGATTGCCACCACCACAAATGAACACACGGTCAATAACAATTGTGTGGCAGGTGTGTGGCCAAAAGTCTGAATAACAGAGAAGAGTGGAAGGTCTAAGTGAGAGAGAATCTTACCACAAATGTATGTCATGGCTACTTCATTTGTCTTTTGTCTTAGACTATGAGAATTTTGAACAAGGAGCCCTAGAACTGGATACAAAAGAGAATTCGGACATCAGGTAATGGCTCTTGGCTAACTTTCTCACCCTTAGCTTCCTGTCCTGAGAGGTTGGCACTGGAAGTAATCCTGTATATGAACTGTATATAGAAGCAGAATTTTGTTTATACCCATTGTCATCTCCTGCAGGGCCTCAGGTGGCTCACTGTAGTTGAGTACCTATAATAGTTGTGGGAGAGTTCCAGGCATGGTTAGGCATGAACTCTGTGTGTAACAGTCCTCGCTCTTCATGGAGCCCTCTTTTGACTATAGATGGAACTAAAGATCTTTCTGGTGTCTGACAGGATTGGCAGGGCAGAGCTTGGCAGGAGGCAGAATGTGGGTCTGGAAAGGGTTAACTGAGGAGGCCTTGAACACTATAAGTTGTGGGATCATAAAGGAGACTACCTGAGGGATCTAGGCTACCCGAGGCTCTTGCTGAGACCCAGGGTGCCTCTCTTACCACAGGGCTATCAGTAGTGAGCCCAAGATCCCCTACGTGCGACTGGAGCGGCTCAAGATCTGTGCTGCCTCATCAGGAGAGATGCCTGTGTTTAAGCTGAAGCCTCAGAAAAACAGCCAGGACGGGAGCTTCCTCCTGGTGATCGAGTGTGGCACTGAGTCCTCCAGCATGTCTATTAAGGTACTGCTCGCCTATGCTTGGTCCAGGCTAGGAGCCTCTTTTCCTTTGCTGCTGCTGGAATACTTGCTTTAGGGCCCTTTGTGACCCCCAATGGGACTGTGGCTAGCCTTGTCCTCTGCTGCGTGGGATCCGTGAGATACAGCAGGGTTGAGCTGCGACTGGCTTTTGTCCCTGGAGTAAGAGGTCCTCACAGCGAGTGTTCAGTCTCTATCAGTCTTCTGCATCCCCAGCCCTGCCAACCACTTTTCCATACTGTGCTCCAACTACTCAGACTCACTTCTTCCCCAAGGTCAGCCAGAACAGCCTGCCTGATGCCACCCAGGGCCCAGGTCTCGGGGGAAGGAAGGTCACTGTCACATCTCTGCCTGGGCAGAGGCCACTAGAGGTGGACAGCACATCTGAGGAACACAGACTCATTCCTCGAACTCCGGGAACCAAGAAGAGCACCCCAGCCCCCATAGAGAATGAAGACTTCTGCGCTGTGTGCATCAACGGTGGGGAGCTGCTGTGCTGTGACCGCTGCCCCAAAGTGTACCACCTTTCCTGCCACGTGCCAGCCTTGCTCAGCTTCCCAGGGTGAGTCATGCCATCACCTGGCTAGCAGCATTAACTTCAGGGTCATATCATGGTTCTGACCAGGCCCAGAGCACTCCCAGGATGGGCTTACTTGAGCCTGAACCAAGTCCAGATCTGTGAGGCTGTGGGCCCTGCAGCGGTGCTTCTGCAACAGATCTGTCTCATACCTGGTCCTAGCTCCCTGCTTACTCCTATGCTTTTCTGAATTCATGGCATCCTCATTTATTTCACTTCTTTTGAGCCTGTGGCTAGCAGGTATCCATTCGTTGATGCAGGGCTGGGGACATAGTTTCTTGCTTCATCACCCCACTACTCTATGCGGTTCTGGGCAGAGGATCAGGGAAGGATGCTGAGTTCTAATATGGTCCCGCCTGCTGTGCAGGGGAGAATGGGTGTGCACTCTGTGCCGCAGCCTGACGCAGCCGGAGATGGAGTACGACTGTGAGAACGCACGCTACAGTCACTCTGGAGTGCGGGCACTTCCTGGCTTAAGCACGTATGACCAGAAGGTAGGGAGGGTTTTTGGGAATAGAGTTTTCTATGTGAGGCAGTCCCTTGTCCCTACAGAGACTGAGGTTTTTCCCAAGGGGATGGCAAGCTTTTTTCCTGGGGGGTGGGGGGATTGTTGGTCAGTTTTCCATCACTGTGACAAAAATAATGTAGAAAATCAACTTAAAGCACAACAGGTTTATTGTGACTCAGGGCTTCATTTCACAGTCACTTGGCTTCACTGTTCCCAGGTCTGTGGTGGGATGAAACATTACAGTGGGGAGCATGTGGGAGAGTAGAACTTACCTCATGTCTGTTAGAAGGCAGGAAGGGATAAGGGGCTCCAGGGGCAAACTATACCTTGCAAGGATGTGGCCCAGATGACCCACTTCCTCCTACTCACCACCACCTCTTAAAAGTTTTCCCAACTCCCACCAGTCCAGAAGTGGATTAATCCCTGTGCAAGGCCAGAGCCCTGATTAAATCATCTTCCAAAGGCCCTGCCTCTGAACTGCTGCCCTGGGACCAAACCTTTAACACAAGAGTTTTGTGTGTGTGTGTGTGTGTGTGTGTGTGTGTGTGTGTGTGTGTGTGATTTAAGGCTCTGCTGAGCGCCAAGCCTGCTGACTCAGCCTGTGGGAATTTATGTGACTGTCCCTTTCCAAATAGTTTTCCTCTGGCCTGGGAGCCCAAACTGACTTCTTCAGGTGGCTGGCACCCTCGAGGTCAGAGCCAGACAGTTATCCAGGGTTAGCATCCTTCTAGGGTTAGCATCCTTAGTTCTCACTGAGGTGGAGCCAGGACAATGTGCCACTTGCCCCTTGTGGTTTCTGCAGAAGTGTGAGAAGCTGGTCCTGTCTCTGTGCTGCAACAGCCTCAGCCTGCCCTTCCATGAACCAGTCAGTCCCCTGGTAAGGAGGCCCCTGCTGGTTCTGCCTGCTGCTCTCCTTTCTGTTAAGGGGACACCAAGGGGGCATGGCTATTCCTGCTTCTTCCTGTCCCTCACTGCTACTGCATCAGACCTGACTTAGCAAATGGCATCTCTTCCTTTCTCCTCCCACACCTTTGTTCCTCATCTCTTCTGCACCTTCTCTTACATCCCAACTCACTCTCCACCTCCTCTTCTTTTGTCCATTCCTACACTAATTTTCTCGTCTTTGTCTTCTCCTCCCTTTCTCTCCTTCCCCAAGGCCAGGCATTATTACCAGATTATCAAGAGGCCCATGGACCTGTCAATCATCCGGAGGAGACTGCAAAAGAAGGACCCAGCTCACTACACCACTCCAGAAGAAGTGGTGTCAGATGTGCGCCTCATGTTCTGGAACTGTGCTAAGTTCAATTATGTATGTTGGGTTTATTTTCATTATTTCACAGTGACCTCAAGACTGTCACAGATGGGAGTGGGGTGGGTAAGAGAGTCTGGAAGCAGAGCTCTGGAGTTTGCTATGGTTTAAAAGCCTTCTCCCAAATGTGGGCCTTAAGCATGGACTCAGAAGGATGGGGGAGTTGGGGAGGTTCTCGTAACTGATCAGCTGTGGGTAGCTACCAAGATGGCTGCTAAGTGGGTTATCTTGAGTCCTAGGAGAATGTGTCAAGCTCCAGGTCTCTCAGGATGATATTCTAAGATAGGCCAATCAGGCTTTTATTTCCTGTGTCCCTCCTGGTGGAGGGCATAAGAGGAGATGGCCTGGTAGAAGCAGGCTAGAACACCGCTGTCTCTCTTCATTAGCCTGACTCGGAGGTTGCAGAGGCTGGTCGCTGTCTGGAAGTGTTCTTTGAGGGCTGGCTAAAGGAGATCTACCCAGATAAATGCTTTGCCCAGCCCCAGCAAGAGGATTCAGACACTGAGGACGTATCTGGCGAGAGTGGCTGTTCCACCCCTCAGGGCTTCCCGTGGCCTCCCTACATGCAGGAAGGCATCCAGCCCAAGAGGCGACGGCGGCATATGGTAAAGAGCTTCTTCCAGCCAGTGGGTAAGGGGGATGGGTGATGGCACTGGCAAGGGCCACCTGGGAGGCTATGAAGAGCACAAGACAGAGTGGTATTGACGAAACTTCACTCTCAGCCCTGTAGCATATGAGAAAGGTAGGGCGGTTTAAATTGTCTCATCAACTCCAGTTATCGGTAAAGCCTGGAATCCTGGGGGGGACTATGTTCCTGCCTAGGATTCTCTAGCAAGTTCACATATCTAGGGTGAAGAAGTGTTTGACACCCAGCTCAGTACTGGTTAGACTACTCTATGATTGCGATACCCATAGAAAGAGAATTACCTGGTATCAGTGCCTACCTTGGCTAGAGGGAGAGCAGAAGGGACACTTTTTAGCTTCTTGATATAAAAAAGGAAGCAGAGGGGTTGCTCACAACAGAGAGAACTTTAGGACTTTCTGGTTGGTCCCAGCTGTGTAGACCTGAAAGATCGATTTCCTTCCTGCCTTCCTTCCTTCTTTCCTTCCTGTGTCCCTCCCTCCCTTTTCTCCTCCCTTATTCCCCTCCCTATTTCCTCCCATCCCTCTTTCCAACTTTTCTTCCTTTATTTTCTCTCTCTCTCTCTCTCTCTCTCTCTCTCTCTCTCTCTCTCTCTCT